TATTTAAAAATTCGTTGGAAGGCAATTTCAAATGCAGGATTCCATTTAAGTTATCGGGCTATCGAGATACCAGAAAGAAAAGGATTAAAAATTTTAAAGCTGCATGTTCAATAATAATGTCGGACAATGGACAAATTAGGTATATATATATGCAACATTTTAATAAAAAAACAACGAATACCAACAGACACTTGGGATAGGTTACATTAATATGAGACAGGTCTGGTCACTAGCGTCAAAGGTCGATCTAGAGGATGGTAGGTTTTAGATGGATCGAGCCTATCCGTCGATGCCGAAAACATCACTTTGCAGTAGTAATATCCGAAAAAATGAGTGTTCGCACTGTCAACTAGAAATGAATTACGAGCCATTTTGCAGAGTTTTGAACGAGCTTTCTTTCGATATATAATGTGGACCGCAAGCTAAGTTTTTTTTATGGTAAAAGCAATAGACATACTATCGTTGGCTGTGCTGGAAAGACCGCTTTTTAAGAGTAATATCCAAAAACGTCGGTGTTCGCAGCATCGATTAGAAAGGAATTACACAACATTTTGTAGAGTTTTAAGCAAAGCATTTAAAGCATTTTTTTCATCAAAATATTGATGTCATCTATGTTCTTCGGTTTTTTGTTCGCGGTTTATATAAACAATTAAAATAGCTACATGCTGATTTTCTAGAATTTGTGAAATATCTTGTATAGCTGTTTATCGTGGTAAAAACCGAGTTCGCCAAATATTGGAGAACTCTTTGTAACAAATACATTTTTGTCTACAACACCAGTTTATAATGTCGCTGAAATGTATTCTGATAATGGATTGCCGAAGCCAAAGTTAGAATCGGTATTGTTTGAAATCAATATTAATATTATTCCGGAAACCATTGGTCGATGTACAACATCATACATATTTCAAAGATGAAGAAGAAATACTTTACCAATGGGATCATTGTTTTTTATGGAAAATTATGTATGATATTAACACTACAGTGAATTATCTTGGTCTATTAATTACAAATAATAAAGAAAAATTGATAATTGAATTTTATCATAAGCCAGCGGCCCAGTTGTACGTGTTACCGTTCACCTCAACACATCCTCGTCATATGAATGGTCATATCATTTATATCCGACATCTTCGCATTCTCCGCTTATGTACCGATTACGATAATTATGTCAATGAATGCAATAATCTTTATCCATCAGACTTCGTGAATTGTCATCTTAAACCAGTTCTCGATGATTTGACTATTGATAATATTAATCGCGATTGTCATTTCCTTGCAATAAACTCCAGAAATCTAGCATTTCTTTTATCATACAGCATTGGCTGTGGTTAAACAGGGAATTGCTCTTAATCTTACTAAATTACTCGCAAGGAAAATACTATCAACAGATCTCATTACACCAACTTTTCGAGTAAGTTATGTGTAAGTTGCGTATCAACAGTATTTTGTTTATTTTTGTTCCATTTTAGACGTCAAGTAAGTACGTTTTTGTAGCTTGTAGACAAATGAGCTAGTAGATGACAAGGTACTGGCAAATATGCGACATCTGGTGGATGATATTTGCCAATCCTCCATGTATTGTCAAAAAAGCTGACTCGCTATAACTAGATCACAGAACACGAATTCTGTACCGACTGAACTGAGAGAACACATGTCTTTCGAAAATTTGGATTTCTAGAAAACCGTAGGTCCATGACAATGCTTCAGCTTCGATCAACTAACCGCTTATAAGTTGCACAGGAAATCTCCATAAAGCTTAAAAATCTTGATTACATAGCTAATTTTGGATGTTGTATAACATAGACGAAATGTGAGGACTTCTTTTAACATGAGCATTCTTGTTTATGTGTTAGTTTGAATGAAGCGTAGTTGCCATCTGAACCGACGCCTTTTTATTCGCCTTTGATATGTGAAGAATGGATCTTGCACTATTATCCAAATTTGAAAAGAAACCTGGCAGCATCTGCTCTTTTAAAACCCTAATAAAACCAAGAGGTTTGCCGGCCAGTTTCTGGAAAACCCACTTCCCATTATGCCGTCCACAAATAGAATAGATTTTCACGTTTCTGTAATGGACTAACAGGCCAGACCGTTCTCTGCAAAACTACGGAAGACCGGGTTCGCTACCTTGTTCTGGTCAGGAGCTACAAACATTTTCCCGAGAGCTTCGATTTCAGCTAGTTAACGTTGGATCACCCTAAAATGGGTCAAGAAAGGGGTAATCGGCAACGCTGCGTCGAGTGGTGATGTTTACCGTTAGTTTCGAACCGATCTAAAGTCACTATATCAAGATTTTCAAATTCCAGCATTCTGCCGCCATGTGGTGACGACCTAAGATTTTCAGAGCCAATAAACCACTTGAAAACAATTTTAAATGGACTGTTACAAGGTTGAATAATGGTATTGGTTTCCGTTGTTTGTTGGACGGCAGTTGGTTAGATGGACGTACAGAGTCGAGAGATGTGATTACACAATTAACCACAAGTCAATATTCCGGAACAAAATGGAATGTTATCATTCAATAGAAAGATATGTATATAGTTAATAAACGTTTAATAATATCATATTTCATCATTTATATTATTTATTCATGTTCCACAAGATAAATTAGACAGTAAAATAATCGAATGAAAATCAGTTAGAAGGTAATTGAGCGTGAAAGATGATACGCATTAATTTTCTTTTTTCTGACTGTTTAACTAAGCTCAAAATTCAAGAAACCGTAGTTTTAAGAATCAAAGAAAGCTGTTAACAGTCAGAAAAACAATTTCAAGAAATATTCTTGTACGCTATTATCTTTTCAAAATTGCATGGTTAGTGATAATGATACAACTAGAACATGCTCTAGGTCATTTTTATTTTTCTTGTTTCTACTTTCTTCTACTTGTCAGGTAACAAGTATTGTAATAAAAGTTTTTCTTGATCTTTCACTGGCGGGGGAATCTGCCGAGATGCTCACTTCCGATTTAAGTGCTTTGTACATGAATCGATAGACCTCAGTGAGGTAGTAAATACCCTAAAAGGTTCGGGCCCATGACTCTTGACGATCCGGTTTTCTGAAAAACCAGTTTTTTAGAAGCTCTAAAAAATAACCGGAACCCTTTCTTAATGAGGCATAATTGTGGCCTGCAAATTTCTGATTAAAACGAGACGTTTCCCAGTTCTACAGGACCTTTCTTTGCAAAGTTATAGAATTTACAAGAAAAGCCCTAAATTACTTTCTTCTTATTTCTGTAGCTTGGGCTCTAGTTAAAAAGTGATAATCATGGGAAATAGAGAACGCGAATAAACGTTGCTTAACTGCAGCTTTGTCCGCGAGTTTGATCGGTCTGCGTTTTATCGGTTAAATCTAGAATGGTCAAACGCATCTCATAAGACTTGAATCATTGACTTGAGCCTCTTGAAATTAGCCTTACTTATTCAGACTTTTCTGCTCGTTCGATTCATGTGTAACTCGGATTTTTAAAATAGGAAGCAGAACAAGAAAGAATTAAAATATGATAAAAGTCTACTTTTTCGATTTTTTTCTGGGACTTTTTGTATAAAATCCGTAACTCAGTCATGTTTAGGCTCTAAGGTTTAAAAACTTAGGTTTATAGGTAACTTTGAACGTTTTATCTAATGAGATCATAAAAACTGGTTTTAATTTTGAATTTTTTGGAGGATTCTTAGTCATATATTTAGAGTAGGATCGGCAGGTATATTAGGATATCATTTGTATTGATATGTTTAATTAGCCATTTATAACAGAATTGTCTTTAATTAGCTTTTGTAGAAATAGAAGAAAATCGTCTTTAGTATAAAGTTTTTTAGAAATTTCAGGTATTTCAGGTTTTTTGCCCAAAAGTAAGGTGGTTTTCAGGTTTTCCCAAACATTTCAGGTATTTCAGGTGAAATCTCAACCCTGACTGTAGATAACTGCAAGAAACATATCAAATGGATGTGAAATACTTAACCACAGTATTTGAATATGCACCATAGAATCGTGACAATGTCAAGAGTGGCACAATGGCAATTGGAAAAAGCATATGGCTCTAATCTTAAGTTATACTTGTATTTATTTATCCAGATTATATATCAGAAAAGAAACAAAAATTATTCTTATACTTTTCAAGGTTATCACAACGAATATTGATTATGATGTCTCGAATAGGAACAAAAATATTTGACGTTTTGAATGTCTATGAAGGTCGAGATGTTGCTATTACCTTTACACTTTACTTCTGTTGTATGGTGAGTGAATTTTATCCTACAGCAAGCAAATTATACATTATTCGTTTTATTAAATCTGCTGATTATCTTGCCTGATTCTGTTATTATCCGTGTGAACACATCGCTTGATTAGGTGAAATGGTTTTGTTAGTCGTCGATGTGGAATTATGGATATTTTACACCACCATTTTTTGGTCAGTAGCACTTATCACTGGAACAGTATGGTACGTTTCTTTCTTTCGAACAATTCAGGATGATGCTTATATTTAATCTATTTGAAGGAATGTGCTTGTACTTAAAAAATATTATATTCAACAAACACTGAACAAAGAAACGAAAGAAGAACAGTGCGTCTATCTTTGTATAAAAATTTGTGTACTATTGACTGTTAGATGTTTTCTTTTCTAGAAAAAAGAAGTTGATACCATGGACGGTGTCTCAAAATGCTTTACTGGCCTCTATTCGTAATGGTAGTGAATTTTTTGTTGCTATTCATTTACACCATCAAGATTATTTATGGGCAAACAAACTTGGCCATACTCAAGTTGGACTATTTGGAATATGTTCGGCTTTGGCTCCCCTCGGTGATATCCAACAAGCAAACAAAAAAAGTTAACTAATTACTAATTTGAAAAATAAAATAATTTTATCGCTTTGTTTTCAAACTGTAGATTTATTAAAAATTAAATACGTGGATATAATAAAATAGCAAATAGAAATTTTCCAATGTTGGTGCTAAATTCGATGCTAATGAGTGGCCTTCTTTGGTACTAGTACTGGGCTTGTTATTGATGATGTTGTGGCATGTGGAGATGTGGAAGTACTTCTTTCAGTGGTACACCAGTTGACCTTTTTGCTGTTGTTGTGGAAGTATCTGGACTCGTCGTAGTACGAACCTAGAGAAAATAAATGTGTACTTATTTCTCATTCATAACTTTACATGATGTTTTTACTATTCTATTCTAAACGCCAATATAGTCCAATGATTTCTACTTACCAAAGACGGTGGTATAATTGTATCTTCGGCTATATAGCCTAAAACAAGGATTACAACCTACTTTGGCTACATCTGTGCTACTGTGTGAATTTTTCTTTTACTCTACCACAAGATCCAGTAACAATCGATATTTCATCCAGGGCTATATAGAATGATACACCACCGCTTGGCGCCTTTAGATTGAAATAAATCTAAAAATAAATATTATTATGCTATTCAAATAAATTCCAATCAATACAGTTTAAGCCTTACTTCATAATCATTTTGTTCAGCTTCGAAAGTTTTGTTATGAAACATCCATCCATTATATTTTGTTTTTGTTACTTCGTCAATGGTTCGATTAGCTTCATGACCTTTGGTTGTTATCGAAACTGTTATTTTTTGATCACCAGTATCATTTGCAAAATAATAATAGTATCGAAGACATTGAACTCCGAATGGACCATCGTTCAATGTTAAACGAAATGTGATATTTGATAATACATTCATTGGTGAGAATGAATACTCCCCATAACGACCTAAGATTTTCCAATCAACTAGCTGAAATCGGAGCTCTCGGAAAAATGCTTGCTGCTCCTGAACAGAACAAGCTAGCAAGCCCGGTCCTCCGTGGTTTTGTATACCAAAAAGCGTCTAGGTGAGGGTTTTGAAATTGTTTATACAAAATTTCTAATGTGTAAAGTTTTTGACGATCAGATCTGACGAAGTGACCATTGTATGACGTTTGTTTGCATTTTGCTTGGTGGTGCGTAAAGTGGCGATGTTGTATGAATAGTTTGTACGTATAGCTTGTGT